TCCTACCAATACAGCCCCCAAGATTTTAGGGGATTCCATTTATATTCAGTATGAGATTATGATATACCATGTGGATACCAATTACCTAATTCATAGACTTGGCTTTTCATGGCCCCAGTAACCAAATAGTATAAATTTCCAGGTAGTATTCTACTTGCTTCCTTAAGGACTCCTCAGCTTTTCTTCCCTGCTCTGAATGTGGACAGACCTGTGTGGCCAGAGTCTAATGGAAGCCAGGAGCCCAGCATGTCTTGCCGGCCACAGAGCCTTACTCTGCCCAGACAGGAATGCTCACGGAGATAGAGCAGCTACTCTCCAGAATAAGAGGTTTCTTTTAGAACTCATCCTAAGACGTCAATCACTGAATGAGACAACAACATGCACAGCAATAAAAATGCAGGAAAAATTTTAAGTGCTCTAGTTCCTACCTTTTAAATAGGCAGTGCATATAAAAATAGTGATAATCACAGTGGCCAAAAGTAATGCTGTTAGTCCAGGTAAAAGATGATCTGAATGTAAGCTTTACTTTTCACAGAAGACCTTATAAATGGCAGAGATGATGACTGTCATGTAAGATACCATAAATCATGTTCCTGAGAGGTTCCACTGTAGGGATTTTTCCTCCCTGGTAATCTTTTAATATCCCTAAATTGATATCTTATAACTGAAAAGAAATTTTGTCTTTGCCTTAGGCTAAATAGTTTCTTGAAATTTACTTTCTTTTGAAAGCGTCTACATAGTACATTTAAAAGCAAACAAGAAAACACTTTTCAAAGCTTTAAAACGTAGGCTTAAAATACCCCTCCCCTGTCCAATTTCTTCCGAGACCTGCGTGTAGACCTCTTTTTTCCCAGGGTTCAGAATGTGAATTGTGTTCTTATGCTCTGTACTGTTCTATTATTTTAAGTCACCTTATATTCAGACAAATATGGAAAATGATGCTAATGTTTTTTATTTTTAAATGTCTTCTAAAACTTTAGCTGTAATTGTTTATGGATACTTAAAGCTTAACAATTCTGTGGCAATTTCGTATAATTATGGAAGTAACAAAAGCCTTCAATATGCAATTTTGTGCTTTGTGCATTCAGTTGGTATATTAATATTATATCTCCTTTAGCTTCAAGTATTAAAATTGAACCTTAAAAGGCAAAACCCACAAAGCAAAGGCAAAAAGCAGAAAGGGAAGGGCAGGAGAGTACACTGATCACGAAAGCAACGGGAATGCCCCCAGGCAGCCCTCCTTCTCCGAGCTGCCTCTCTCTGTGTGCCTTCTTTGCTCCCCGCCACTGCAGAACAGCTGCTCCCAAGCTGCTGATGCTTCCAGACACACACCTACCTACAGCCTTGCTTCTCCAGGGGTTGTGCTTTTCCTCCCTTGGATTAGAAAAATGCAAGGAAGGATTCTTGTGTCCTGGATTGCTGCCCATCCTTGGTGTATGTGACGGGCCATGCCCATTAGAGCTATGGCATCAGAGCAGAGGGAGAAGAATTTCCCCCAAAGAAGGGTATACTGTCAAGAAAAGGAGAGAGAGAAGAGGCTGAGGTGGGAGGATGGCTTGACCCCAGGAGTTTGAGGCTGCAGTAAGCTATGATGGTGCCCGTGAATAGCCACTGCACTCCAGCCTCAGCAACGTAGCAAGACCCTGTCTCTCAAAAAAAAAAAAAAAGGAGAAGAAGCAGAAGAAGAAAGAAGAAGAAGGAGAAGCAGAAGAAGAAAGAAGAAGCAGAAGAAGAAGAAGAAGAAGAAGAAGAAGCAGAAGCAGCAGAAGAAGAAGAAGCAGAAGCAGAGGAAGAAGAGGAAGAAGCAGAAGCAGAAGAAGAAGCAGTAGAAGAAGAAGCAGAAGCAGCAGCAGAAGAAGCAGCAGAAGCAGAAGAAGAAGAAGAAGCAGAAGAAGAAGCAGAAGAAGAAGAAGAAGCAGAAGCAGCAGAAGCAAAAGAAGAAGAAGCAGAAGCAGCAGAAGAAGAAGCAGAAGAAGCAGCAGCAGCAGAAGAAGAAGCAGAAGCAGCAGAAG